CTCAGGTCAATACCAAGGCAGAATTACTAGTGGCTGAGCAACGAAGCAAATAAAGCACTAATATAGGCAGCGAAGACTGAAGACTAGGGTTAACCGCCTTAATGAAAATTCAAACAGAAATTAACGATGATCAAAGCTAGACTATTAAACCTATTCGCAAACCTGCGATAGGCTAAACAAGGCAATAAAGAATCAACTAAATGAAAATAGAAAGAAAGACCGTACATCGAAGCGTTGCTGATGAGCTCACGAAGGACTGAGAAGCTGGTTGATCTCAGCCTGGAAGGCGAACGTTTCCGTCTCCGACATTTTGCAGATCGAAAAGGAGAAACAAAACGGTTAGGAACTCAGGTCAATACCAAGGCAGAATTACTAGTGGCTGAGCAAACGAAGCAAATAAAGCACTAATATAGGCAGCGAAGACTGAAGACTAGGGTTTCTAGATCCTTCTGTTGCCAACATGCGGTTTTTTTTTTCGTGGCCGAATGCCAACATGCGGCTGAATTGGTTTCATTTTGCATTATCTATTATCTAATTATAAAGTCAGTTTAATAAAATATAGTAAATTTATTTATTTCATAATAATACCCATGCTCTATATAATCAAATAAAAAAATATTAGATGAAATTACTTATATCCATTATCTCAAATTATTCAATTATTAAAATAAAACGCATCCTGGTCAAAATTAAAATAAACACTTAACTAAATGTGATTGAAAAAGTATTTTTCATAAATATGAAATTTACATAATCTAAAAGTAATGTATAATTATTGAGTTTCATAATTTAAAAAATTTATTAGTTATGATCTTAACATTATTTTTCAAATGAATATATTTTATCCGAAAATCATCATATCTGTTGTTAACAAAGAAAATTAAGTTAAAATTTTTTTATAGTTTTTTTTGATTTTGTTCTATTTTTTTTGTACTAGACACAGGACTTAGCGGAACCTTGGCCATCCCACACTGACTGGACGTATAAGAATGATCATATTATTTGTATTTGATTTAAATTATGATTTATCTTGACGTGAACAAGTATTATTCATTTTTTAAGATAAAACTTAGGTCCACTTAGCTATGTTTACTATAATTAATTTTTTTTATTTGATTAAGGGGTGTTTGACAAGATGGAAAAGTGCTTTTCAAAAACACTTTTTTCAAAACAAAACAGGCTCTTTTATATATTTACTTCATATACTGTAAAAAATACTTTTAAAATCATGGTATCCAAAGACGGTTTTTCCCTTCAAGGCTTAGAGGTAGTCAGAGTCCATTATATATGCGTTGAAGTGAGGAAAAAAAGGCTGAAATGTTAAAATTTGATTAGAGAATTAGTTATAATTAGTTATTAACGAAAGCACATGTACGTCTTTTTTTTTTTTTTTACCAGAAAGCACATGTACGTCTTTGAAGATAATGAATCGCTGTGAGAGGAATTTATAATTATTAATGTGTATGCTCTGTTCCTGCAGACGCCTTCGCAACCTGAAGAATGGGATTTTCATCGTTTTGCTCTGTTCCCCTTCCATGCTTCGCCTCTCTATCCCCCTTTCCCAGGTGATAATTTCCCTCTTTTTCATTCCATTTGTGCTCTCGGATTGTGAACCTTTTCGCAGATTCACAGCCTTGGTCATTTCCTCTCTGTGTTTTCCGTTATGAGGAATTCGTAGTCATGATTTTGTTTAATTTTCTGAATCATTCGAGTGCTTATCGTGTTCTGTTTTCCTATTTTATTCAATGTTATAAATCACTGCCTCCGTCAAATATTGCTTGAACCAGTTGCATTGAGAATGGAAATGTCAAATATATGGCGCCCGTAAGCTCAGACAACACGCTTGTATTAACACTCAAAAGATTTTCAAGAAGGCTAATTCTACAGTTTGTGGGGCTTAGCCACATATGTAATACTCGTTCGATTTTGGCTGCACCAATAATGCCAGAGATGAAGGAACCTGAAGTCTTGCGGTTCATCTGCCTTTTTCCCTTTTTAAACCTTTTTTCTTTTTTACTTTCATGAATCATAATCTTTCTATATATTGTGATAAGTGATTATTATTTTTAATGTGAAGCATCTAGGACTTTTAAGCTTGACAGTGGAGTGAGGATTCAAGGTACAAAGCTTTCTAAGCTTCCTCTCATGAAGCTTCTTTTTCTCTCTTTCTTTTTGTCCACTTCTTTTTCTGTGAGAAGAAGTGGCATACATGCTAGAACAAATGTTCATGCAAGGACACTTAAGGTAGTGTTTGGACGATGAAATTTAGAAGACACGAGAATTTGATTTCTGCAGCTACTTCCCGGAACACATGATGGTTTAATGATTGATTTTTCCTCCTTATAGAATTAGAAATCCAAGTCCCTGGTGCTTTTTCGGTTTGGCACATCACCAATATGTGAAGGATGGCTTCATTTTCTTTTTTTGGCATTGCATCACTTTGTATGAATGAGGACCATTTAATCCTCCCATGCTCCTTTAAATAGGGAATGCATTTAGTACATTCAGGCAGCCGTTGCTAATATTTGCAAATAATTAGCTTTTCTTTGGAATGTTCATATTAGATATTGTTGAAGGAGAAGGACCAGAAGCACGTGGCGGAGACTTAGTCGAATTCAACTATGTATGTAGGCGTGCAAATGGATACTTTGTTTACAGGTAGCTTCATACCGTGGAATTCTTTCTTTACCCTATTAATAACCTACATGAAAGTATTAAACTAATTCTCATGTCCCAAATCATAGTAGGACTTCAGACATCGTATCATTCAGTTTCTTGTTTCATATTTTGGTTATTCTCCCTTTCTCGTCTTTGTGTCAGTAATATCTAACCTAGTTCTCTTACGGTCGTTTGGTTTTTATCCTGTGATTCGTGATAGCACTGTGGATCAATTCAGCGGAGAAAGTAAGCCAGTTATACTTCCTTTGGATGAGAATCAGGTCAGAAATTTCTTGTCACTCTATGTATGGAGGCCGATAAACCTCAAAACATGGCTACCAGATGAAGTTTATCCCTTTTCTTTTGCTTTTTCAATCAATTTATGGAATTTAGATGGTGTTAAAAAAATAAGTTCCTGTCTTGAATGGAAATGTTAAAATGAACATTGGTAGCGGGGGATTTAATTGAATCCTTTTCTTTTTAGAAACTAAATTATGATTGTCAACTCATATTTGTTATTTAAGATACCTGGTATCACGAAAGGAGAGAATAATGCGGGGTAGAAGAAGAGAAGAAGAATAGGGACCATTAATCCAACAAAACTTAGACTGCAAACTTAAAGACAAAGGGTTTCATGCCTTCCCATCTACTAAGATATGACCGTAGTGATTGGTTAGTGTATTGATCATCTAACCCTTGATCTGGCATCAAGCCAAAGGAAGAGCCTCTTCTTAGTCTGGTAATTCTTCAGTAAACCTTTAATTAAGTGATTGGTTAATTCTTGTAGCAGATGATAGAAGGCTTGAAGGAGGTCCTGACTGGCATGAGAGTTGGTGGTAAGTTCAGAGATGATCGTCATTAGTTACTACTTTTTAAAGATCTCGATACAGACGAATCCAATTTTAAGGGGACGTGTAAGCATGTTGTTCTCTTCAGTGAAAAATGGCCTTTGACATGCATATATATATTTTTACAATTGATTTTGTCTCTCTAAATAAGTTTCTCCTGACAAAGAATGTCTTGATACCTCTTATTTTTCTTCTGTTCTGATCCAGAAATCACATCCCATTCAGAATGGTTGCTAATTTCATTGTCTACATAATTGTCTCTATCGCTGCCAAGCATCAAAACTAATTTGAATTCATCCTTAAATCACTATGAAAGAAGGCAAAATATTGAGGGATCTTACAGTTATGGAAGTTTCATTTACAGGAAAGAGAAGAGCACTGGTACCACCTTCAGTGGGATATGTGAGTGAGAACCTGAAGCCAGTACCAGAAGAGGTCAGATATGCAGTTAATAAGACTATTTTGGACATTGATAATAAATTTTTTTGCAGAATCTGATTTCTTTTGTTGATTAATGCAGTTTGGTCCTCGACGCAGCCTCTTTTCTCATGCAAAGGAGCCTTTGGTATTCGAAGTTCAACTTTTGAAAATTTTGAGTCTCCCCTCATCATCTGTATTTTGAGAGTTTTATGCACTTATCGTTGACTCCTATGGAGAAGACTACTAGTATTTAGTCCAAAATTTTTGATATCTTTCTATGTTATCTCCTCCTGGTATTATATTCCAAATTTCATGCTCACTTCCACAGTTTTAAATTGTGCGAAAAGTGAGAAGTCCCATGTTTTACTTTATTTTTCCTCCATATATATAAGGATAACTTTTTTTTTTAATTATGCATACTTTTATTTGATTCTTAATTTAAAATTTTTTAAAAATTATATGGGTGAAATATTCGTTTTTTCCCTTAATAATATATTAATGGCAGAGGACAAGTCTTGACCCAAAAAGATATATGGAGATCAAGTCAAATAACTTGATAGATTTGTAAAAATTAAAAATATTTCATCAAATTGGTTCATTTGAGTGTGTATAACCATGTGTACTATTTTTTTCACATAACTATATAATTAAATAGTAATATTTTAAAAATAAAATATTTGGTCATATGTGATTAAAGAATAGGGTATAATAAATATAAAAACTAAGGTGTTTTTAGTTTTTCAATAAGCTGCGTTGAATGAGTTAAGCCAAATAAAGATATACTAAGTATTTTCTTCCGTATTTGATATAAGAATTAATTTGATTGTAAATATAAAACTATAATCTATTTTATCTTTTATATTTATTATTTTTTAAAATAATCCTTATAATAGTTGTATATGTTAAATATTTTATCAAATAATAATTTTATGCAATACACATGATTAATAATAATATTTTAATACAAATAATATCTATCTTAACAAATTTTGTTCACCTAGTCAAAGACTTAAGGATTGGAGCTACTGCTCATTATGTTTAGATGATACCGCCTAGTGCCAACTTTGTGATGTTCTTCGGGCCCGAAGAAACAAAAACAGTTTTTTGCGCCATTTTCTAACCGCGCTCTGTTTCTCTCCGAAGTCCGCACTCCTATTCTTCCCAGATATGCTACAAGCACCGGAAACGATCTTTCGTAACGAGCACTCAAGCTTGGAGTTGATCGGGACTGTTGCGGCACAAAACTGAGTCACTGAAGCGCACGACTCCTCTATTTTTCCTTTTCTCTGGATATCTTTCCTGAAGAATCGCGTAGTCATGCGGAGAACATTTTCGCCGTTCAGGTGTTGATTTGTGAACAATCCCAGCGCCTGGAATTCAAACGTGATTATATCTTCTTTGATTGGTTGTGTTTTGGTACTGGGTTTTGAGAGCCAAGGAAGCAAAACAGAACAAGAGTTGCAGAAAATGGCCCAGGGATGGTTCTCAAAGAGCAATTACAGTGAAGATCTCAATAAACCCTCGCCCTCTTTGTTGGACCAGTGGAATTCCTACGCATTGTCACAGGACTCGCAAGACAGCTCCGATTTGGGTTTTGGTTTCGATCTGGAAGCAGCAGTTAGGTCAGCCAACGACACTGTCGCCGGCACTTTCAATGTGTAAGCCATACCCCCGGCTTCTTATTTCAGAGTCAGCTTTGTGTGGTGTTCTCTGAACTTTGTGAATCCTGTGATGACATATGATGTGATTATTGCAAATGCATGGTTGTTAGTGTATTTGCGTAATCTGATGAGTAATCAGCGATATCTTCCGTACTTCCCTTCTGAGATTGTATAACTGAAGGCTTTTGCTAGATTATGCTGACTAATTCTGAGCATTCTTTCTCTATAATATTGCCATCTCAAGCGATGTAACGCCTTTATCTACTTCTTTCTTTCTTTCTTTCTTTCTCTCTCTCTCTTCTCAACAAGCTTTCGTGGAACTCAATATTATATTATTATGCGAAGAAAAAGGCAGTTTTTGCTTGATTTTTAATAATATAGATGAGCACATAACAAGGTTCCTTGATTGGTGATGAAGTCGGTTTTATAAGGAAAAGTAGTACCTTTAATCATATTTTTATTGAAATGCAAAGGCATACTTGTCAGTGTATAAGCCTAATGTGGTGTGATGATTAGTAAGTGATGCTGTCTGTGCTCTGGTTTTGAAGTTTATATTACTGAGAGCTTTTGCTAGATTCTCTATGATGTTTCCATGCATATATTTGAAGTGATATGAAGACCTTATATTTTCGTCACACTTCCACGGAACAAAATCTTATGGAAAGGAAAAATAAAGATTCTCATTGTATGTTTATTGATGTAGATAAACATATAACAAGCTTTTTTTTTTTTTTTGGTAGTGAAATTTGAAGTGAATTTTATTAGGGAAAGTAGTCCGTTTCTCTCTTTGATTATATTTCTGTAATTTATTTACTTATATGATTAGAGTTGTCTATCAACTGCAAATGTGTCTTAGCTTGTATGAAAAACAAAACATTGGAGGTTATGCCATGAGGAATACCCAACCATTCTGGTCATCTATACCATGCTTTTGTTTCAGTTTTATTTGTTCTCCAGGATTCCCTGTTCTGATAAGTTTCTTGACCGGCTTTTAGCTTTTCCAATTGGATCAAGTAGGACCAAGACTGACCGGATAGAGTGTAAATTCCACCTTCGACAGAATGGTGTCTCTTGTTTCATGTGTTCTGAAGATGGTACTCTTGTAGAAAGACAGCTTCTAGAATCTAGACTTTGGATAGTTAGGATCCAGACTGACCAGATAAAGAGTAAATTCAACCTCAGTGCAAGATGTGAAGTCAATTGACTACTAACGCTATTAGATTTTTTGTGTAGGGGGATACTGGGTTTGCATCTTCAATAGAGGATAATATACAAAGTTTTTGAAACTTTCTGTTGAAGCTGAACTCTAGATTTTTCAGATATTAACACCTGGTGTTGCCCAACTGCCCCAGTGCAGAATTTGGTTCCATTAACTATAATTTGTTCTAAGTACATTCCAGAACATTTTTAATTTTTCCACCCTATGTGTGAAGCAACTCTTGTTTAAAAGAAATTTATGCATAAACACATGAATTATCTCTTTATTCCAGGTTGCTAATATACATAGGCATACTGTAACTGACACAATTTTTTAATGTAATTCTGTGTGGAAAAAGCATGTTCTATTCTGCTTTATGTGAAATATGGCCGAGAAGTCAGTGATACTGTTCTCGAGCTTCCCTTTCTGATGGTACAAACAGCAGGATAACGCTCAGTTGTTTTTTCAAATAATTGAATTGCTCATGCCATGTTGAAATAACATGTTGGTTAGTAGTAGTTAATTTTTTTTCCAAATAATTGTTTAGGGTCTCGCAGGGTGTGAGCAATATACATGGCAACTTTCAGTCTGCCACTAGTAACGTTCCTTCTGGAAAGGCAATAATGTATTTTGGTTTGTTTTTGGCAACTGGGATCTTCTTCATTTTCATTGCATTCACCATGTTCCTTCCCGTCATGGTCGTTATGCCCCAAAAGTTTGCTATATGCTTTACTCTTGGCTGCGGATTTATTATTGGATCATTCTTTGCTCTCAAGGGTCCAAGGAATCAGCTTGTCCACATGTTATCAAAAGAGGTACCTATCTATATTCTGTTGATAAAATAACTTCTCCAATTTATGTGTGTTTGGGTAAAGAAGACCGTGTCCTTGATCTATTGCATGTGTTTGATTCTTTCCTCTTACTGTGGCTTCTCTGTGCGATTGTTATTCAGAGGCTTCCTTTCACGTTGGGTTTCGTCAGCATCATGGTCGGCACCATATATGTATCTATGGTTCTTCACAGCTACATCCTCTCTGTGGTATTCTCTGTTTTACAGGTATCATTCTCATGTGCTGGTAAAATGAGGGAAAATCTCATGCAAGAAAATTAAATGCTGATGATTCCCCTGGATTTCATTTAATATAGATCCCTTGCATGTTTGAGTTGTATATATTAAATTGTTAAGCTAAACTTGCAAATAAAGAAACTTGAGTTGTAAATATAAAAGTTTATCTTGTAAATATTAAATTCTTTGGGACCTATTTGTATCAAATGAAATTTGAGGGGACCTATTTGTTTTTTATTTTTTCTACTCAGGACCTATGGATTGGAAAAATTATTCTATGTTGGATTTTCCTTTGGGTATCGTTGTTAATGCATGCAATTGATTTGTAGTTTGTTTAAAGGCATTTGCATATGATATTTGGCAACATTTGTTGTTTGCAAAGAATGCGATTATAATAGACCTTATACCCTTATTCCTGTGCCCATTTCTTTTGTGATGATGGAGTGCGATTCCATGAAATGGCTTCTTCCACTGGTGGTGTGGGAATAGGTCTTCCCTACGGATTTTTTCTTATATCATTGATATTGATTCATTTTTATTTCTAAAACTATTCAATCTTCAATTAAAGTAATATTTTGGTTATGCTTGCAGGTTCTAGCACTTGGATATTATGCTTTATCGTATTTTCCTGGAGGATCTGCTGGAATGAAATTCCTTACTTCTGCTTTTACCTCCTCAATTCTGAAATGTTTTGGTAGATGACTTGATTTTGGTTAATTGGGAGTGAGGTTAACACTTTGTCTATATGGTAGATGACTTGTATAGTTACCTTAGAATCTCGATGAAGTTTTGAACTGATCTGGTAACATTGCTGTTGTAAATTCAAGTATCATCCTTCCCCCCATCCAAAAAAGAAATTTTTTGTTGCCACTTCTAATAGAAAGGAATCCTTCATCAATGGTTGTGAATCACTGATTTTTCTCAATCTTTATGACTTGCTGCTAGAAGAGAGTATACATTTACCTCCCGGATACAAGCTGCTAACCATGAACATAGTCTGATCAAGGTGCTAAATAACTGCTTTGCTTCATGTACCCTTACTTCTTATAAATGATTCTTTTATTATTATTATTTCCTATAATGAGAATATTTTCTTACAGATTTTCACCTTATCTGCTATAACTTTATTTTGTTATTTGAGTGGTCTTGAATCCGCCTATGAGAGGAAATCTGCAATTTCTCTTCAAATAGATGTCAAAACCTTGGGGGGGGGGTAAATATCTTGGCTGATCAAGTCAAAATAGCTACAACTGGTGGATGTAAACTAGCAAACAGTACATTTAGAATGACTGCTTTCAAATCAGGCTTAGCTGGGAGCTGAGGTGTTCTCGTTTAGTTTCACTTTTCACCCTTGATTAAATAGAGTTCTGAAATGATGGTCAAATATTTGGTTTGTTTTTTGAACCATGAACCTGGCTCAACTTAGCAATTTTCTTAATTCAGTTTCAGCAGAGCCTTTGTAAACACTGGTTAGTCCTAGTGAGAGAGACTTTTTTTCCTTGGACCCATTTGTGATCCTTGAAAATACCATTGAGGTATAGTGGTGGGGAATAACATGTGATGATGATCAAAACACAGTAGTTTGTTAACCGTAGGCTGGAGATCAAAGTTAAAGATTACAAGTGGGACCATCATATCTTCACATTCAAACTCTACTATTCTTGCCACCATCATGATCATGTACATTAGACAACATAATTGTTCACAAGGCTTTGACGCTGATTGAATTGGATGATTCTATCAGTGGTTAAATCAGTATCAGTTGGTTGAATCTTCAGCTCCTGTTTCTCCAGACAATTGCCCAGGACCCCCCCTTCCCCCCCAAATATCTGTCTGCCCACTTTTAAAAATAGTTTAATTGGTTACCATAAAGTAAGAACATTTTCCGGATCTGAAGGGGCTATGGAACTTTTCACCTAGGTTAATTATGCATTATAGTTCGAATTGACTCTTGCTCCATGGATCTAACACTTTGGTTTACTTCTTTTACTGCTATTCTTATGTTGAGAATTGATGTTTGCTACAAAAATGCAACAATAAGTGGCTTGTACTTCGAAGTTATAACAGCTATCTCCGGTGAGTTTGTCATTTATTCTTATCAGAATGTTAGCGTTACAGATGAAGGACGGGGTAAAAGAAAAAATGGCGAAAAGCCCTGAAGTGTGCTTTACGCACACGCGTGCACACACACAAGTGCGAAGAAGCAAAAAAGGCTAAGCATACTAGACGTGTGGAGTTGATTGGACGTGTTCAAAGTAGTGTGGTTCAGGTAAAAAGGAGGATTTTTTAATACTCTTTGGTCAAGACGCTTAGTCCCACTTTGCGTCCATTACCTCCAATAATTTATAGCATTGGAAAGTGATTTGGGAACAGAAACCCTGATCTTAAGGAAATATTTGGACCGATATAATGAGATTGGACCTTGATTTGACATTTAATATGAAGATCATGAACGAGCAAGCCGTGGTTCTGTGTGGTATTACATCTTTTAATAATGGAATTATTGAAAGGCACAGGCCCATCTTCATCATCGAGGGCGTACAAAGCTGAGTTTTCAGTGGAGCACTTGGAAAGGTCTTAAGAAGGAAAGTGAAGTTAGAGAGAAAAACAAAAGCTAAAGAGCCAAAATATGATTCAAACTAATCAATCCATGAGATCATCCTAATCCTTTTGAATCATCCTAACAGATTTTGCTCGTGAGCACCACTCAATAGAAAGGACAACATTCCTTTATGTTTTGTAATGTGCGAAATTAGAAGGGATGCTAGCGAAAATGATACAAATATTTTCACTTCTACAAGGACCTCTTTAGTTATCAGTACAATAAATCTTAGATTTAAGAGATGATATGAAAATTTATGGATGTAAATATATGATCTAAATCTCTGGTTATCATCTGATTACAAGATGTAAAACTTAACCAACAAGCAGTTGGTTGATGTGGTAAGCAGTCTTATTTTTATAAGGGAAAAATTACAAGTTTAAATTATGACTGCATTTATTAGAAGTATTTTAACTTTGGATGCTTCTGGTTTGATAGGAATTAATCTTCAAGTCTAAAATAATGTTTCCATTGCATGAAGTAATATTTAGAGATAGATTAGAAAATGAGTCTCAAGTATTTGACAGCAATATTATCTATAGTTAAGTAAGGTTGTTTTCCAATTATGAATATATGGTTTCAGGGGTGGCATTAAGTGGACGATTTAGGTTATAATCACAAGTTGGAGGAAATGGGACCAAAAGATTAGAACGAAACAAGAAATTATTAAATTGCATATTATTGAAGGTGATGATTATGATCTTAATGTGCATACGTGTGTGAAATGGGGCTGAGCAACTTGGCAGCTCGTATATCTTTTCGGGGAAGATGGGACCCTTGTGATGAAGAGATTGTTGATGGGATCTAAGGGTTGATGTCAAGTGACAAATCTTGTTTTTGGATGGATCAATTTATAATTACTGTTTGGGGATTCAAAAGTCCACATGATGTGCAATCCCATTCACTAATTGCTCACTCTTTCATTGCACGTGTGCCTTCCCTTCAGGACAAAACTGTCTCTTGATAGTACATTACTATACCTTCCCTACGTCCACCCCTTTAGGGTAGGCCTTATTGCAAATAATTTGAAGCAAACTTGGAATTTATCTAAAAAATTAGAAATTGAATTGACTAATCTTAAATAGATATGTTAAAGTTTAATTTTCATTGAAAAATTTATTGGTAGCCATATGGGATTATCTTAGAAAATGGGATGTAATTAAAATGCTCTCTTTAGTCTCGAATATAAGAGAACATTTTTATAGAGATATTGGTTTGTGTCAGAATATTAATTATCTTTTTTGCTCATTCTCACTCATTTGTTTCATAAATAAGAGTGTTTTTAAAAAATAAGTTATATTTTTTTTATCTAGGTAATTCTGTTATTCATATCTTATAAAAAGCATGTTATATGTATCCTTTTATTTTTCTATAATTAATCATGGTTCATAAAATTATTTTGTAAATTGAGTTTACTTAGGACTTCTCATCATGCAGTCACCTCTCTTTTGATTGAATAATTTGGGTTGCGGAAAGTAACTTTGTTTCAACCAATGATCTTATCGTAATGACATCATCAATAATGGACCCATTAAAAATTGATGGTTATGGTATTTTAGTTAATTATTGAGATCTAAAATCATGTTCAATTGGGTAAAGTCATGAGTGATGGAAGATTATATGACAGAATAGACATGTTAATCTCTTTTTAATTTCATCCCCCATTTTTAACATGTTAATTAAGCTCCCTTAAAAACGCGAGGAGTAAATTGAAAATAACAGAGAAAGCCCATGCAAAATCGAAATAAAAACATTGGAATTTAGGTGAATGAATCTCCTCAAATTTTCCTAAGAAAATAAATTTGTTAAAAAATATTTTTCAAATTTTGTAAAAGATAAATTTTGATGAGAAAATGGCAAATAAAGACATCCCAATACGTAAAATTACTATTTGAGACCCTCAATTTGAAAAATGACAAATAAAAATCCGGTTTCATGTTGTAAATATAAAATTTTGGTAAAATGTCTGAAATGCCCCTCAGCTAAGTTGTGGTTTAGTCAACTGAAATTGTTATTAACTAAAGTAAACTTATTATTTCTCATAGTCAACTTATCATTTGGTATATTTCAAACATTTTATCAAGATTTTATATTTATAATATGAGACCGGGTTTTTATTTGTCATTTTTCAAATTGAGGGTTTCAGATAACAATTTCACATATTGGGGTCTTTATTTGCCATTTTTTAATTTTGATCAATAAATTAATTAAACGACTAAAATTAATTCAAAATAAGTTATTTTTATAAAAAAAACAATAAAATTTGAACTAAAAATTTAAATGACAAAATCTTAAAACCTCATAAAAACATATTTGCTGTTGTGATGAGGATAATTTGCTGTTGAGTCATAAATACTATGGCAACAGAAATCATATTAATTGCATAAATAATTTTTTTAGATTTGATAATATAAGAGGGTAAATTTGCTGTGAGTTTTGATCTTGATGTGATTAGACTAATTAACTAACAAGAAATGCAAAAGGGGGTGTCGTTGGTTAAAACTTTTTAATTGGTGATTAGATAAAAACACAAGTGTTTGACCAAAAAAAAAGAAGATAAAAACACAAATGACATCATCCCATTCGTGTGTCTCAAGCTCTCTAATTAATTACAAAGAAATCCTCTCTCTTTCTTTGAATAATAAAACTTAACTATTCAATTAGTGGTGGGGTTGCACTTTGAGGATCACACCCTTTCCACAATTATTAAATTATTGTGTCCCACTCATTGAATGTAGCCTCATTATTTATTGATTAAATGGAAAACCTTTTGTGTAAGTTGAAATTAACACTTTTAATTTTTCTTTTTCTTTTTAAAAAAAAATAAAGGATCAAATAAACTAACATTCTTAGAGGCATCAAAAGATTCATAATGCACCTAAGCACAGTCATCAAATGTTTAAAAGTTAAGGATGTTCAATGTATCCATATCAAATTCAAGGGTGCTAATTAATCATCTTTAAGATTCATTTTTTAGGGTTTGCTCCTAATCCCATTCACATCATTCATTTCTTTTGGCTTGCCGTTGTGATTAGGAAAAAAAATATTTTTTTTAACAGACTGTTAAAAGTTTAGAAAATCAAGTTATATTATTCACAATTTATAGATCATACAATTATTGTATATTTATTAATTTTTGTAAATTGTTTGGAAGTCAATGATTAAAAAATTATGGCAAAATACATTAAATTTGTTTTAAAACTCCAGGTACAACAATTTTTCGGTGGGTGAAAGTACTTTTTAACTATGTGTAACAATTATGTGAAAAATAGAAGATATTTGAAAATAATTAAAAATATGTTGTGCATGACTAAAGAAGAATTGCACATGCTCAAAGACTTGGTATACTATCTTTGATTCTTAATACTACTTCTAATCATTAATATAAGAACTAGTTTGACTTGTAATTTAGTCCTAAATATAAAATCTTAATCCATTATTTTCTTATATTTATCTATTTTTTAAAAGTAATTATTGTAATAATTGCACATGTTAAATATTTCATCAAATAATAATTATAGCTAATATACATGACCGGCAATGATATTTTAGAAAAGATAATATCTATTTATTAAAAATAACTACCTTAACAAACTTTTTTAATCTACTCAAATTGGTCAATTAACTCTAGTATAAGAGTTAGTTGATTAATTTGAGTAGATTAAAAAAATTAGTTAAGTTAATTATTTGTAATAAATAGATGTTGTTTTCTCTAACATACCTTTGAATTATCATTTGATAAAACTTTTAACATGTATAACCCTTAAAAGGACTACTTTTAAAAAATAAATAAATATGAGAGGCAAAATAGATTAATGCATTATGTACTTAAGATTAAATTAAAAGTCAATCTAGCTCTTATTTCAAAAATCAGAGCTAGTACTTT